AGGTCACCTGAGTTTACTCAGGTGACCTAAAAATGGAAATTAAAACATCAGTGGCGGGATCAGGTGCCCTGGAGAGGAGTGAGCATCTCCAGCCGAACGGTCACACCTGCGTTGCCATGAAGTAAGAAATTTAATAGAAATTTACACCAAGATGACATAGAAATATTTTTCTTTGGTTTTAATAGAAAGAGGGAGTGTTTCCTTCAATAAAAAACCTCGTCTTTTGTAATAAGCTGATGACAAGTTATCAAACTTCCTGTCAGAAATTAACTGATCATCTATAAACATCATTTCACCTCATGTAACCATGGCAATAAAGAGACAAAATGAATAACAAATGACAGGAAATGTGCAAAAGAGCAAATTACAGTATGAAATTAACAACCACAATTACATGTACGTTTCCTTGCAGGATGATGATAAACGCATTAGAAGAGGTGGAGACTGTAAATTATATTCCTGCAATATCTTAGACAGAAAAATCGAAATTCACAAGCATAAAACAAACACTGAAAATTTCTAATAATCTCACTTTATCAATGTTAGATTTCTAAAGGGAAAAATCTTATCTAAGCGATATAATACAGACTGATATTGGGAAAAACCCCAAAAAGTTCTCTGCTATTCTTTTACGAAGTAAGCACGGTTAAAAAAGCAATAAATTTCTTCGATTTTTCAATTACTGAACAATGAAGTTCTATTTCTTAAGTTGTGATATGGACTTCCAACAATAAAGGAGCAATTAACGTTTTCCAAAGGAGCTAAAGGTGTAGAGCACACGGTCCAAAATTTACATTAATCTGTAGTTTTTGTTTCAATCATTCCAATCAATTGTGTTTTAAAAACAGAAATATTAACGCTTATTTAATGAATATGATATTGTACGGACATGACCTTATAGTTAAATAACTTTTTGAAAGACAACAAGCAGAATGGATTCAGTGAAATACAATCAGTTAAACTGTATAACATTTTTTTTATGTCTGCAAAAATGAAAAAAAGAGTAGTTTTTAGTAAAGAATTGAATGTATATACAAACATATATTAGAATTTAAGCATGCAAAACAAAAGAGAAAACACATAATTTATGATAATCATGGCTTTTGCAAACTATTTTCAAACTCAATCACTATATACACTGACTTCTAGTATCTTTGTAGGTTTGCAAAATTCGAAAGAAAAATTATAACTGGATCAATTTCCTTTCTACAAATGCACAAACCTTCAAAGGAAGAATAAAGTGAAAACATCACTAATGTGAATAGAAGCAAATTTATTTTAAAACTTTTGAAAACTAAAGGGGTAGATACTTTAAAATATTATGTATGCAAGTCTGTTTCGTTATGATTAGCATAAATAAAGTGTTAAACAGATTTGCAGGAATACATTATTAAAGATTCAAAATCTTTAGAAGTTGCATTAAAAATTGCAACGCACAACCTTAACAAGTGAAAAAAATCCAATATATATGTAGAGTTACCTCTAGAAATTTCTTTTTGTTTGAACATATTTATTGACAATATGTCAAACGTATCACTAGTTCTAAAAACTTAAATAGGCCTCCCCCATTCTTATTAAGTTCAAATTTTCAATCACAGTGATGTCTTTCAATTTATACTTGATATTTGTATACCGACTATTTCTTTTATATGAAATATAAGAAAACGTATGATATCTTAAAGCGTGGGAAGAAAATTAAGTGGACAAAATGTTACATATAACAAGGGGCTTTAGATGTATCTTAATAACATAAAAGAGACCGACATAATTCAGCTTATGTTATATACTTTAAGGATACAGTAACAAACGGTAGATAAAAATTTAATCTCCCAGGATTAGAAGAATCTAAGAGCTGCAAATGTTACACCTAATTATTTTACAGTATAAACCATTTATATACGGATATTACGTGTGCGTTTACGCCTACTGTTTAGTCAAATTCTTTTTTACACCCGGTAACCTTCGGCAATGCTTCTACTTTTGTTTTTTTTACACCCGGTAACCTTCGGCAATGCTTCTACTTTTGTTTTGAAACATACAGTATAAAAAGTGTTTTTTCTGTACATTTTGCATCCTATTTTTAGGAGAAATGGTACATCATGCCATTTAAATGATATTTTTTAAATTTCAATTATAAAATTGTCGATTTTTTTTAAATTAAAGAATCACAATGCAGATATTTATATATTATCACACCCTTTATAGATTAGATCTTTATTTGTGATCAAACACCTTTCTTGTTCAAATTTTCTTAAACTCATCATTATTTATTTGATAGATATATCTAAAGAAGATGCGTTCTGCATTATATTACTAACAAACATAATTAAACATACCCTTTTCCACTTCACATCTTGTACTGGTCCTAGACACCAAAATCAGCAATCGAGCTTTCGGTCCTCTAGCTGATACAATATATAAAATGGAAAAGGATTTGTATTATTCTCTGTATATCATGGCAAGGAGTACACCATGAGTGTGACCAGTCGACAAGGCATGCTTGCTCCTCCACGACGTCTGATCCAATATCTGATGTTTGTTAGGCCCTTGTTTGCTCTGCTCTCAATTTGTATTTTTCAAAATGGATTTTTGAACTTGAATACTGTTCGTTATCTCCATAATGCATTGCACAAATGCACCTAAAAAAAGATTAATTGAAAAAAAGAATTATCTTATTTATGCCCTGATCCTGAAACAAGAATTAAACTTTAACGCTTTATATTTCACCTTTGTGTGGCAAATATTTGTCCATAAAAGTCAAAGTCTACAACATCAATAAATATTTTAGATACAAGTTTACAAGTTTACTTTTAAATGAAAAAGGGCAATTCAAATCATCCAACTCTAATCTTAGGTCTTCTCTGAAAAGCATGAAAAGAAAATAATTCATTTCTTATTGTGTTGCAAAAACTCTCTCAAAATCTCTTACAAACAACATATTTGTAAACGAAAACATGATGGCACGTTCTCGATGTTCTTATGTGAAATGACAATTAAGTCCATTTAGAAGCATACATAATTCACGAATTTGTTGCCTCACAAAGAAATGAAGAAAACAGTTGGAATATATACCCCTGTACATGTAATTAAATGGAAATACAGATTTGAAAGATAATTTTTTTTTTATCTAAAGAACTTGTATCTTTTCATGTCATCGATAAGTAGAACTGCATGTTCCTATTCAATCTGTACGCCAGATAAAAGTTTTAGAGACCGAAATCATATTGTGTTCAAAAACTTAACGATGACACATACTCTGTTAAAAATTAAAGAGATAAAAAATATTTTTTATCGGCAGTATATTTTTACAAGCATTTCATTCTTGTTCACCAATCCAAAAAAAAAAAAAATCACAAACGAGAACAAGAAATGCTTTGTTGGATGTCCTTGATGCCTGATGATGATTTTTTTTCCCTTTAATCAGCCTGTTTGTTTTATCTGATTTAGAAATTAAGGCAAAAAGGCAAGAAACAGGATTCACATTTCCTGATCATTTTCAAACAGTGCATTAATTGTAAATGACTTTGATAATCAGATTGAGAGACAAAAGGATGGCACTAATTTACGAAATTTACAAGCATACCTGAAACCCAAATTAATTTCCTATTTTATTGATAATCTCTTAACAGAGATTAAAGTTCATTAGAACAGATACTAGGAGAAAGAGAGGAGATTAAAGTTGCAAATACGTTTACATAAAAATTAGACCAGTGTGTTTTAATTATTACTCTTTATTGCAAAATGAAAGAAAATTAAAACCAAGTTCAGTCAATTCACGCTTTCAGCTTCTTTAAGACACCATAAAGTCTGCCAAAGCTGGTTCATATTTTATAAATGTGTACGAAGATATAGACGATAAAGGCAAATTACCAACTAAACTGTATGACAAACGAGATGACTCGGAGCCAGCTTTTCTATCATCATCTTTTATAGTAATCTATATACTATCACCTGCTCTTGGTGTATACTAGTATGTCTCCCAGCATGCTCTGTCACGATTTTTTTTTAGCGATTCATTCTACTCACTGATAAGTGAACTTGTATGGTCAGTACAATGACCTTATTAGCAAATATAACCAACATTGAGCCGTATTTTGGCTGTTTCATACCAATTGTTAGGCCTATTTCTTTTCTCGTCTACCTGATCAATATATAGGGCTCACGCGGATGCTTCTTCCTCCTAGGCACCTGATCCTAACTCTGAAATTTCCATAGGACCGTGTTTTATGTCCTCTTTACATCTTTATATTGTTTATATTGTTAAAAGATCGATTACTGTTTGTTATCCTCACCTTGTACATTATAGACATCCATTTCAAGAATAATTCTTGTGAAATGCAAAATATTTAATTTTAGAATTAACTTAAATTCCATGACTGCAAGTTTCAAGCTCTGCTTAGGCAAATCTTCTAGTATTTTGTTCTGATCAAGCATGTCTCTTGTATTCTGATTGTGTATGCGGAGTGTAGTAATATTGACCTGTAACAATTTTTTTTTCATTAATACAAACAATGGTTTAAATATATATTCAGGAAAAAATCTACTTACTTTCATCTGGTACTAGTAGTTGAAGATGACAAACATGGTCACACCTTTGGGGGCACATCTACTTGGATGACTGCATGAAATTCCGAGGAATGCAATACCCGCCATCAAAGCATATCTAAAGCAATTCTCAAATTATCTGTGCAATATAATCTTCACTGTAAAACGTGAAGAATTTAGTAGAGAAATAACTAAATATACACCTGTACATTATTTTTCATGTTGCCTGTAGACTATAGTAGCAAGATTCCAAGAATTTCCCGTATTTTAAATTTCACAAAATAAAAAATAACATAATTATGTACTAGATAGAACTTAAAGAGTTTACTTTGGTGAAATATAAATGATAGACATGTGTATGTATATCGTATTTAGAATGTCATATTGTATAGCTCACCTTTTTTCATTTTCCCTTATGTTGATTGCTTCATCAGAACGTTTTATACATTTTACAGGTATCAGTGCTCTGTATTTTACCCAGCAGTCCTACACGTTCAGTCCGGCAAACTTTGTCATAGGACAGGTAATAGCCCTGCCAAACGTTACGTCTCCCCCGGGCTGTCAACGTGGGTACCGGCGATACAGCATTTACGGCGTGAGTCAAGTGTCTAACCAAGTACGAATAGATAACATAGGCTGGATTCGAACCAAATACTCGAACACAGGTAAAGACTTTAAGGATAAATAAAAACTAGAGGTACTGTGAGCAATGAGCTCACTAAATGACACCCCCCGCCTCCCATATGAATATAATGGCAGTGTCCATGTTTTGTTCTGGAAAATCAAAAATATATGTCAGATCAAAAAGTAAAATAGGAGGTGCACAATGGAAATATGTAATTAAGAATCTGTGAAAGTTTCATTAAATTTCCTTCAGTGGTATGAGAGGAGTTGCGGATAAGAGATGGGTACCCCAAAGCGTAACAGACGGACGGACGTACCGGCGGACGGAAATGATTACTATATACCCTCCCACTTTTCAAGCGGGGGGTATAATAAGAAGTTAAAAGATACATTGTAAGGTATTGTAATTTGCTTGATGATTTCATCAGAAAAATAGCTAATATTGATAGACATTACTTTCACCGTCAGTTGGATAAGTATTGAAGTAAGGGTACGCTATAATTCTCAATATTCCAAAATTATTTTAACAAGAGGACCAGGAGCCACATCGCTCACCTGTGGAACTGGCTAGATCTATAAATTAAAGCAAATATCAGTTCAGTATTGAAAAGTTTAAATATAAAAGTGGGTTCGGGGAGGGGAGGGGAGGGGTATTTGAACAAACTTAAATCTACACTTCCTAATTAATAAGACATATAATGGCTATGCTGTTTATAAAATGAAATTTTTATCGATAAAGCCTTTATTTTCCTTTGTTATGATCCACTTTAATGGCTCCTCCATTCTCCTGATGGGTCATGATTTGAACAAATTTAAATCTACATTACCTTTTTTGATGCTTTTATAGTAATGATAAACCATGGCATGGTTGTTCTTGTGAAGAATACAATTTTTCCCATGTACCTTGATCACCCATTGTGGCCCCACTCTACCCCCGGTCGTCATGATTTGAACAAACTTGAATCTACACTACATAAGGATGCTTGCATGTATCTATGATCAATCACAGCTTCGCTGTTCTTGATAAGAATTTTAAAGATTTTTTTCTATGTAATTCACCAATTCATAATTATCTCCCCTTGAAAGAGGGCATGGCCCTTCATTTGAACAAACTTGAATTCCCTTCATCCAAGGATACTTTGTGGCAAGTTTGGTTGAAATTAGCCCCATGAATCTTGAGAAGATGAAAATGTGAAAAGTTTACGGCGACAACGACGACAATAACGACGACATACAACGGACAAATTTTGATCAGAAAAGCTCACTTGAGTCTTCGGCTCAGGTGAGCTAAAAACCTAGATTGATTGAGTGATTGTATGTTGTTTATCGTCCCTCTCGAGAATGTTGCACTCATATGGAGACACCTTAAACATCAGAAGGAATATATCAAAAAAATCATATCTGTTTTGCTATTTATGAATTTTCATTTAATGACCTTCTTTTGATTAAAAAAAATACACTGGTAAGTTCATCATACTGTCAGCAGACGTTCAAAAATTAACTATAAAACTGACAATTTTAATTGTAAAGACGTTTTTCAGTGAAAATGTCAACTTTTTGTAGGCGATAAAGATTATAGTACGGAATTGAACCATTTGCTGATATACATTTTGTTACAAAAGGCCTGTAGGAAATGTAAAAACTCATCCATTTCACTTCAACTCATGAATTTTTAATGCTGGTATATAAGATTCCATATACTTTTTACGTCGTAACTTGGCACACTGACAACCAATGATAGATCAAGTACGTGTTACAGAATTCCATTCGTCTAGAACTTTGTCCAGTGTGACGAATTACGACGAGTGGACCATTGGTTAAATAATTTCCCAGTAGGCATCAAATAGCTGCCATTATTACCTATGCAGATGATATTGAATATGACTGCTTTTAATGATGATATAAGTCACAATGCTTAATTAAGGTGGGGTAGTAACCAGAGCCTAGGGTCGATATCAAGATTATCTAATTTCAGACTGACAGTTATAGTGTATAAACGACTAATACTGAAATACAAATGAACTTTGATAGAAATATCGCAAAAAAGAAAATGAATAATGAATGTAAGGAGTCCCGGGCTGCAATGCATACATATGCATGTAATGTGTGCATGTGTTTATTACATGCAATGTCATACCAAGGTTTTCATGAAAAGAAAATCGGTGATCATTTACCTGCAAAAACTTTGAAGAAATTAATTCATCTGACAAAGCTTAAGGTAGTCCGATCCTGAGGTTTATAATATTAGCAGTTAGGTAATCAAAAATACTCATAAAAGTATCCCTGAATACAAAGTTGTGCAATTTTATCCACAGTATTTCTTTAAAGTAAAAGATCAAAGTTAATCATATTATATAGGGAAAATTGTCAAATATCCTACATTTTTGCAGAAAAAGCGAATTGGAATATCAGCAATATATTTTCTAATTGCAAATTGATCAACAAATATATTTTAGGCTAAAAAACGATAGGTATCCAGGCATTCAGAGAAATTGTCGTGATTTTTATACTTATTTGGTACTTTTTGTCTTCTTTTTCCGTCATGTATTCTATAATACATAGTGTAAAAGGCTTTTGCTATCATTGCAATACACCATAAATCACTTCTCATTTCATATCATGCTAATAAGCATTGGTATCTAGGGCTGGATTCAAGAAAATCTTATTTCTCTAAAACTGTATTAATTTTTTCTCCTTTTATAGGGTACAAATGCCAACTTTTATAAGACCTTGTATAAGACTTCCAAAGACCTTGAATCTTATAAAAATGAATAAAATGAAGATTGTTGCATGAAAAAATTTCATTTTCAAGCTTCAAATTGATGCGTTTCAAATTAAATGTTAATTTTTGGAGTTATCCTTCCTGGCTGAGGATCGGATATCCTTAAAAAGGATGCTTTAGTTCTCACTGAATAAACTTTCACTTTTTTTTTTTTTTTTAACAAAAATAGATCTGATTCATTTTTTAAAAATAAATCACAATTATTCTTAACTTCCAAATACATGTACCTTGAATGTTACATGAGTATTATCTAAATTAAGTTTTTACAAATATTTTTTTTCTTCAAAGATACCATTGAAAATCACCTACTGGTATATTCTGTTTAATAATGCCTTAACACTGGAAATAATGCACACCTGTTAAAATAAAAATAATTAAGGAAATACCACCCCAAATTAATTTTTTGCTAATTTTCTTTTTTTAAAATGCATTTTTTTTTCAAATCTGCTTAAAAATCCTAATGTTTATGGTCATCTGATGGCTATGATTTTAAGGACAGATGATACAAACTTTTGTCAAAAATTACGAAAATAACAACTTGGGTCATATTTTAATGAATAAAATGAATAAGTTTCACCGTGTAGATTTTGCTTTTTTATTCAAAGTTGCACAAAAACGGAATTTGAAGTGAAAAATATTTGTATAGAATTATAAAGATGGTTTCAGAAGGACAGACTTTTAAACATCACAGAAGGTTTACAATGTATTTATATTCTAGAAATTTATTATTTGCATCATTTGCAATGAAATAAGGTAAAAAAAAAATATACCAATCTAGACATCTATTTTTTTTTTGTATCATCTGTCCTTAAGATGAAAATATCTTGGAAATTACAAGTGGGAACAGTGAATAATAAAGTACACGTGTCTTTTAACATTAATTGAAATTTTCAGTTGCCAGTTAGTACATGACTTATAACTGTCATTTACTCATTGGCAATTGAAAATTGTTAATAAATGGTGCATGGCCTTAATTACACTTTCGCAAACGTTATTTTCTACCTTTCATTTAATAGGAAAGGGTGACTTTCGTTTTACTGTCCGTGCAGAATGTGGCTCGGGATTCAGGATGGAGCGTGCTGACGTCACTGTAAACGTAGCTGATGACGAAATCTGTGATTTTCAGAAACTGTCGTCTGCAGACAGAACTCAACTACAGAGAACTGCTAAAAAACTTTGTTTTCAATCAGAGACAGTCGATTTTTATATTGAAGAGAAAAACAAAAACAACATTGTGGGACATCTATCGAACTGTCTTCAAAATATATCCGGGAATGTGTTACAAAGAACGTATTATGTTGGTAGGTTTCCAGTTTGCCAACTGATAAAATCAAGTAGCTGTGATAAAATGCGTACTTAAAGTGACTTTGAATGAAATAAATAAACCCAGCGCTTGAGATATTGATTAGTAAATGTAATTAAGATTCCTCCTGAGTATTTTGATGTGACAATCAAGTGCGAAAGTAAAAATGAGCTGTAACAGTCATTTGTTTTCCCAAGTATTCTCTCTGAATTTCTATAATGCATCTAAGCTATTGTTGTATTTCAAAATTCTATTTTTCTACGCATAGATTTGATATTTTATTTACGCACATGATTATCTTTGACCTTTTTCTCAATATTTTTAAAAACAGATTCAGATGTGTTAACCGTTGACGAAGTCTCCTCAGAAATGCGATTGATCCGCGAGTTAGACAGAGAACACGATTCCAACCTGATCTCAGTCGAAGATGTAAAATGTGACATAAATTTCGTTCAAAGAAATCTGAATTTCGTTATTCTGGGTAGGATCCGCCTGCATGTGTCCGATGTAAACGACAACCCACCAATGTTTCATGATACCATGACGAAGGAAATTAACGCCGGAAGTGATGTAAGTGCCGGATTACAGTTGTTATATACAACCTGCATGCATTTGAACCACAATAGATTAGAATAAAGTATTATCATTTATCTCTTTACAAAATGATTAATGAAATGCATTTGTTATGTGGAGATAACAAACAGTATTCGACCTAAAAGTCCATTAAACATTACAAAATAGGAGCGGAGAAAACACGGACCTCCAAACATCAGACGTGGGATCAGGTGCCCTGGAGGAGTGAGCATCCCCTGCCGACCGGTCACACTCACTGTGTGCTAAATGTCCCATAGTGGGATTCGAACCCGCGACGTAAGGATCAACTCCTTACTTCGCGACTCTAGAGTAGACGGTCTAACCACTGCGCCACTCGGGCGACTCCATATAAAGGAAAGTTTGAAAAGTTTAAGTCATCACATTTATCGTAAAACTTTGTTGTTAGATTACTAACACGTGTTTTTCTTTTTTAAAAGATTTATTGCAGCTTAGCGCTTTAGATCTCTGTATATAAATTAAACCTTTCAGCCTCTTTGAACTTGGCTTGACTTTCCAGTTGACATTCTTATTTTCATCTTGTAGCCCTTGAATCTAAATTTGTGTTTTGAATCTTAAATATCAATAATTTTGACCATTATTTAATTTTCAATTTGGCAATGAAATCAAGGTTTAAAGGACCCTCTAAAGGTGGCTACACTGTTTATTGAATCGCAGGTTTTGTCTCAGACATCGCGTCCTTGAAACGACACTTCTTTAAATGTATATTCCTTATCGTTTTGATTTTTGATATATCAGATTTCTTCTATACAAGGCAAAGTATTCAGACGATAAATGAGCACAAAAATAACTATTTTTTATTCGTTTCATCTTTATTTTCAAATTGAAATTAATAGGATAAAATTATATAAAAGTACAAATTCTGTATATGTACACAGTATACTATATTTGCAGACTTACGAAATGGGTTTAAAAACATGATATTAACATCATCAAGAAGATGTATTCTTTAAGATCATAAGCCAAAGATATTGATGAATTAGGGTTACTAGTAGATGAATTACCATGCATTGCTGATATCTTTTTTATGGAAGATGATTTTTTGAAGAAAGAAAATGATATAGTAACAATTACTGAAATAAATAAAGTACAAAGGACGTATATATGACGTGTATAGTACTTCTAAATGAGTTGAGCGCTCCTGTTTTCTACTTTTTGCATTTTCACCAACTTTCTTTCAAGAGAACAAAAGTTTTGTCCAACTGTTTGTAAAATAGATAATTCATACTTGGAAAAAAAAATTTATAAAGGTCTTCTTTACTTTTTTGATAGAAAGACATCGTGGAGGTGGTGGTAGATAAAGACACTAGGGATTTTTCCAGACATGATATCCGTGTCTTGGAAGGCCAGGAATACTGCCATCCACTTCCGGTTCAATGTTTTGAGGTCAAACGCCAACCAGATGAGAGTGTTTGCAACTGCGCACACACCGTCTGTAGATTAAGTAAGTAGCGTCTCCCAAACAAGGGTATTTACGGGTATTTTAAATGTGATCAACAAATAAAACACATCGAAGCCTCTCGATAACAGACATATAAGGCCTTGATATTGAATTTAATCGCAATCGATCTAATTCATACTTTTTTTAACGCATTCAATTTTATTAAAGTGAAACGATATGCATAATTCTGGCGCTTGGTTAATGCGATACCTTAACATTTCCGCGTTGTATTGTGTTCTTTTGTGAAGCACACTTCCGGTGACCCCGCGTACCTTGACACGGGCTTTACTTCCTGTCATGTGGATTTCCTTCATGCATTCGCTGTGCTCAATGTCAAACATGATAGTGATGTAATATTGAATTAATGATCATCAAAAAGATAAACCCAACTGCATATCCTTTGTTTGTTCCAAAAGGTTTTTGGGTGTACTCGAAGGCCATATACTTTGAAATATCTTTTTCTAAAGTTTGTTATAAAATTGTCACGCTGAAGATCATTATGTTTGTTCTGTTTTCTAAAGTTTGTTATAAAATTGTCACGCTGAAGATCATTATGTTTGTTCTGTTTCTCTGCTAATCCGATAACGATGCTAATCGTTAAAGGCTTAACGTGAAAGAAATAATCAAAAACGAGAGATTCTTCTCATATTTACTGTATTTATAAATTAGCGAAATTTTCCCAGTTTGAAGAGGACACGATCGCTAAGTGGTGGTATCATTAAAATTAAATTTGACCGTTTTATTTAAGGCACAAGGTCAGGGCAAAGTCATTATAATTTTCCTTGACGATGAAAATTTATGAAAATGTTTTCAATCAAGCAATGCCTACATTTACTATCCAAGATTGATTTTTTTTATTTTAGCATAGAAAATAACAGATAGGGTCTAACAGGCGACACTTCATTAATGAAGATGAATAATTGAACTTAAATAGATATGGACTATTCCAATTTTCCTCTATTATTCTTAAATTTTCAGGGAATTTTGATTTATTTTATATGCTTTCTATATTTGACTTTTCCTCATTTTCACATATGGTGAAGCAGTCATATAAAGAAACAAAATGATCCCACATAAAACATTTTTACCGTTTAGTAAGTGAGAAAAATCCATTTTCATAGTATTTTTGCTCAGATCTGTTCTTAGATTGAAAGGTTTCAAAGGCTTAAAGGCTGTATTTTGTTTAGAAAATCTTTTTATCTGATGTCAATAAATGAAAAAAAATCTTTTGTCTTTGATTGTTTAAAAAATTTGATTTAATTCATTACTCTGTTTGAATTTTTAGAAGCAGAAAAGGAGATATTTTCACACGCCGCAGTTACGCCAAAAATATTGCTTCTGCTAGATTTCAAACTCTGTTAACCATTTCTATTTAATGCTGAACAATTATGAGAAGGAAAGAAAAGTATAATGTGTAAAATCCCTTACATCTTAATATGTTAGACATATAAGCAAATATACTTTAAATATCGCATTTAGTCAAAAACAAGACAAGAATCCCAACAATAATCAATGCATTTCAGTCTCATTCCTGTCTTCGTATTCCATTTGACACATGATAATTTCAAACCAAATTGAAGGAAAAAATTAAAGAAAATCAATGTGAGTGAATATTATAAAAAATCTTTAGATTGTTGAAACCTGTTAACCTTATGTAATTTTCAGGGTAAAAATAAAACATTTTTGCACATTTGTAAGACACCCAAAATCATCTTGAAGAAGATGAAATGGCTACTGGAATTTTATAAAATTTAAAAAAAAGTCTTTTTAACCCCAAGTTTGACCTAACAGAAGGAAAATACCAAAACCTTTTCTATCGTGTATAAAACACCCCATAAAATGTTACAAGGGTCAGGAAACAAGACTTTTTGCAAAATGAAAAATATATCCAAGACACCGCCAATTATCTTGCAAAAGATGTTTTAACTATTTTATAAAACGTAAAAGGAATTCCGGGAACCATGTTTTTATTTTAAAAGAATATTCCTTATTAAACCCTATTGGACATCAGGGTGAAGATAAAAACTTTTCAATATCTTCACTTACTATCATACTCCAAAAGAATACACGTTTGTTGCTAAAATTGTAATCTTGAGGAGTTTGAGGAAGAAGAAAGTCTGATAGTCTAGCGGATTCTTGCATGACCATGTTCTAGTCACAAAAATAGCCTTGACATGATTTACAGTTTAAATAATCGGATTTGATTTGAAATACTGATTCCCATTTTCAATGAGCTACACTGAAAAAAAGTATGGGCTGAATCATATCTTATTTCTTAGTAATGTTTTGAAATTATCCGTTATGTACATCGTTATGTAAAAGAACATGAACCAGAGTACATGAAAGGCAGTGAACGTGCCAAAAAAAAATTACCACAGACTCGCTTGCTCCAAAGTACATGAACGTTTTTTAAGAAACGACTTAAGAACGACTTTTAAGAAACTAAATATGTGTTGAATCATATCTCTTTTTTTTCATATATCTGACATATCTTGCATCTGAGTGATGTATTACAAATTTACAATTATTTGTAATATACAGCTGTATAACGTTATTTATAACTACGTCAAACGAATTTAATTTTCAGACGAGGTACAAAAATTTACTTTATTCCTTAAGGAAGGAAATTCAAGCATTTTTAAATATTTTGAAAAGAAGTTGCTGATGTTTCTAGTGCTAAGGAATAATGAATAACACCTATCTTTAAATTTTGGATTTAAAAAAACCGGTATTTCATTTCTCTTGAAATTAATTTTTTTTCAGATTTAGTTTCTAGTTGTCATGGTTTGAACTTGTATTTTGTTATTAACATACCAATTTACATACCAACTCAGGGGTGTGCAATATCCACATCTAAAAATGCCGCCTCTTACCTTCATGGTTTTAGGCTTGTTTGTTTGTTTGTTTCGTTGGACTTCTCTTGTTGTTTATTAGGAATCATTTATAAGTCTGTAAAAGGAAAAAAATAAGGCATTGTAACAAGTTGGTTAGAAGAAACAAGGAGCAATTAATCTGAAATCCGATTTGTATTTTACTAGAGGTGAACATCACACGACCAGAAAACTTCAACACAGGCATTGATCATTTTTGTAAAGTACAAGTGAGCGATCCTGCCATGATAAACTTGCCAGATTCTAACAATAACGGGGTAAGTTGCCAGTTAATTAAATTAAAAAATTAGCCAATCAATAGCCCGACAACTTTATCTTGTAGACGATAAAAAAAAATTCAAATTCACAGATACATAATAACCAATATTTAACAACAAAATATTCAAGTTTAAGAAAAATATTGGTATCTGCATGAGATGAGCAGATTGTCAAGCGATACTCGATACAAACTGAGGAACTCTTGAAATTTATTGGATTGCGTGACAAATAATGGATTCGAGAAGCAGATAACAGGAGTTTAATGGCTGACTTATGTAAGTCTGGAATATATCATCGGTGACAACGGAAGGGCGGAAAACAGAAAGGAAGGCTCCAAATGGATTGTTACCACAAAGCACGAGTCTCGTGTCCAGTTAGTTACCATATGCCTTCGCATTTTGAGAATTTAATAACTAATTATAATATCTGGAAGAATTAAACTCCAGGTAAACCGAGAAGGATACAGTTTTACGAAAATAATAACAGAGAATTAAATGGATAAGAGTTCTCTGATATTATTTGATGGATTGATTAAGGTCAGGGATGTCTAGACCTATGATTTGATCTTGCAATGAGATCGGGCTTGGAAAAGTTACTTTTCTATAATATATCATGCATTAATTTGACCTAACTTGAAGTATTGACTTATCATCTTATTATTTTCAATGCAATCTTCAATGATTAATTCCTACTTAAGCAAGCCATATAGTACGATTCATATTTGTATGTTTAAGACCTCATTTTGAAAATAATTAAAACAGGGTTTGAGTCAAAGAATTCTGAAGAACTACATTTCATATAACAATATATCGCAATCGAGACCCGGATAAAATTCCCATAGGTTATTGTTTACCATAAAAATTCTGTTCCGATGAGAGAGTCCAATCATTTCTATATACCTTGTGTTAGCTGTAACACTGCCGAGATTGAATGAAATAGAGAGAGATAAGGAACAGTATTCCAGCTCAAAAGGAATTTCACAAAATACAAATCAGAAGCAGAGCAAACACGGACCTCTCAAACATCAGAGGAGGGATCTAATGCCATGGAGGAGTGAGCATTCCCTACGACCGGTCTCACCCGCTGAGTACTCCTTATCATGACAGCTAGTGTTTGCTGACAAGGTCATTGTTTCGACCATTCTAAAAGATTAGTTTAATCGCGACAGTTGATATTCTTGTTTCATAAACTTCATTGTTAATAATTTACCTCGTTTTTGAAATTGTTCATTCGCAGAGCATGCGCATGTATATCGAATCACTTGAGAGATATAAACACCATATGCAATGATAAAAGCGTTAAAATTGATAACAATGATTGAAAGAAATTAAAAGGTGATGGAACATACTTGAGAATTTAATGTTTTTTAAGTATCTCATATTTAAGTTTATCTTTTTATAAAATTTTCAGAAAAGAACCTTTTATTGCTCAAATATTCCTATTTATACCCCCCGCTTGAAAAGCGGGAGGGTATATAGTAATCGTTAATTCCGTCCGTCTGTACGTCCGTCTGTCCGTCCGTCTGTTACGCTTTGGGGTACCCATCTCTTATCCGCAACTCCTCTTATACTACTGAATGAAACTTGATGAAACTTTCACAGAATCTTTATTACATATTGCCATTGTGCACCTCCTATTTTACTGTTTGATCCGACACATATTTTGGGTTTCCCATAGCAAAACATGGACACTGCCATTTATACACATATGGGAAGCGGGGGGTATCATTTAGTGAGCCCATTGCTCACAGTACCTCTAGTTTAGATTTAGAATCACAACATAAGGTAAATGATGTCACCTTAGACTATCTAATTTACTTAAGTAATCAAGTTAACGCGCAAAAAAATTCTTTTTAGGCAGTTCTAACCATTATAATTCCATCGGAGAAATCTCAAAAAACAATGAAGGAATCGACAGTCATCTTTTACACTAGGATTTCCAGAATGGCCTCTAAATATGCAAAGGTAATTTGAAATACTATATCCGGAAAATCGGATCTTTCTATCAATATTTCTGTTTTGCTCATTTTGCGGAAAGGGTTACAAAGCTTTATTTAGAAAAGTAAAAATAATTCTTCAAACAGAAAACAATTCTTTTTTGTTTAATTTAAATGTCGCATTACAAAAATATTTCTTTTCATTTGATAAACATTTACACATGTTGGTCTGGAAATACATCAAACGCAACACATAACTATTATAATAACATTTAAAACTCTTATATTTTCAGGTATATGATTTTCCGAATGATGAGAAAGACGCTTTTGCTTTATCTCGCGATTCTAGTCGTGCTTTCCACGTCACGTTTTCTTCTGGAATAGTATATGTTGATGACGTTACATTATTACGTAAATTAAACTCCCAAGTGAATTTGACGATCAATCATGCACATACTATTACACTAGTGGTGAATATAGAAGGCCCTCTACGTCCTGTCGATGATAATTTATGTAGTGAGTGTTTCTATTCAAGTTTTCAATAGATTTAAAGATATTTTATGAAACTTAAATGGAATCACTTTGTAGTTTTGAGTTTTATTCGTTTCTAATTCGCAAACTTTAAAATAGAATAAAAATATACATCAAACTAGGATATATAAATATTTTGTTGATGAACTCACGCAAGATTCATGAGTCAAATAACGCATGTCGTTATTTTGTTCAATGTATGATTTCTAAATTCAACATACATGTAGTTTTACATTTTGAAAATAAGTCGGTTTACATAGGTTTTTCTAATATGGAAAATTGTATCATTGCCAGATGTAACATGCGCAAGTTACATGGATGAGGTGTCGTGTAACTCGGGTTGTGGCCTTGGTTCTGTGAATGGAAGATGTCGCTGGCGATCTGGAGATGAGAGAAGTTATTCTAGGAAGTTTTCTACTTGTGTATCGGATCTACAAACGTGTACAGACCACATGTGTGACGATAGAGAGGCTCTAGATATCCTTGTTTGCCCACAAGACTGCACAAGTAAGATGTCTACGGGTTTATATATTTACGTAATGACAATTTTTAAAACGAACCAAGCAATTGAAAAATAAGTTAATACAAGAGGCCCACGGGCTTTATAGGTCACCTGAGCATTATGCAACAACTTTCCAGTTATTGAATTTGATTCATGTTTTAAGACAGATGCTAGGGCATTCACAATTTTGAAAGAGGCACCATTGATCATCATAACTATACACTTAGCAGTTGCTTAGCTTGGTTACTGAATACCCATACGCAGGGTATGGGAACAAAAATACATTCCAACTAATCAGTAGTGCCCCTAACACTGTGACATAAACCCCTGACCCTAGGTCCACACATTGCACAAATTTTAAAAAGGAACCCTTAAAATTGCCTATCAAAAAATAAATAAATGTTTTATAAATACAAAGGAGCAGACTTCAAACAATTAATTCATTTTCAGTATATAAGTAGAGCCCCCCCACCCCACCCCTGACCCTGGGGCCTTGACATTCACAATTCTGCAAGATTAGGGCCCTTGCTAATCATAACTATGTAGGTAGTTCATCTGCTTCATACCCAGAGACAGAGAAGAAAATTTGCAAAGATTTAATGTATTTTCACTATATAATCAATAGAGCCCCGCCCTAACACCAGAACCCCTGACCCTGGGGCCATAAAATTCATAATTTTAGAAGAAGAATTCTTGCTCATCATAATTATGTACTTAGTTAGTTTATTTAATTCCTAGGAGCAGAGAAGAAGATTTTCAAAGAATTTATGTATTTTCACTATATAATCAAACGAGCCCTGCCCTAACACCAGAACCCCTGACCCTGGGACCATAAAATTCATAATTTTAGAAGAAGAATTCTTGCTCATCATAATTATGTACTTAGTTAGTTTATTTAATTCCTAAGAGCAGAGAAGAAGATTTTCAAAGAATTCATGTATTTTCAATATATAATCAAACGAGCCCTGCCCTAACACCAGAACCCCTGACCCTGGGACCATAAAATTTATAATTTTGGTAAAAGTACTCTTGATCATAATAACTATGCACTTAGTTTATTTAATACCTAGGAGCAGAGAAGAAGATTTTCAAAGAATTCATGTATTTTTACTATATAATCTATAGACCCCCCCCCCAACACCAGAACCCCTGACCCTGAGACCATAAAATTCATGAATTTGGTTGAGGCACTCTTGCTCATCATAACTATGCACTTAGTTTATTTAATACCTAGGAGCAGAGAAGAAGATTTTCAAAGAATTCATGTATTTTCACTATATAATCAATAGAGCCCGCCCCCCCCCCCCCCAACACCAGAACCCTTGACCCTGGGGCCATAAAATTCACAATTTTGGTTAAGGCACTCTTGCTCATCATAAGTATGCATTTAGTTAGTTTATTTAATACCTAGGAGCAGAGAAGAAGATTTTCAAAGAATTCATGTATTTTCACTATATAATCAATATAGCCCCCCCCCCTAACACCAGAACCCTTAACCCTTGGGCAATAAAATTCACAATTTTGGTAGAAGCACTCCTGCTCATCATAACTATGCACTTAGTTAGTTTATTTAATACCCAGGGGCAGAGAAAAAGATTTTCAAAGAAATCATGTATTTTCACTATATATAATCAATAGAGCCCCACCCTAACACCAGAACCCTTGACCCTGGGGCCATAAAATTCACAATTTTGGTAGAGGCACTCTTGCTCATCATAACTATGTACTTAGTTGGTTTATTTAATACCCAGGAGCAGAGAAGAAGATTTTCAAAGAAATAATGCATTTTCACTATATACTTATTTAGCCCCGCCCTAGCACTAGAACCCCTGACCCCAGGGCCATGAATTTCACAATTTTGGTAGAAAACTCAATGCTGATTACAATCATGCAAACAGTTTGACTGCTTGATGTCCAGGAGTAAAGAAGAAGATTTTTAAAGATTGCATTAATTTTAGTGGTTTTGGCCCCACCCCTCAGGCCCCAGGGGGGCAGGGATCATGAAATTCACAATTTTTGTTCCCTTCACCCATAGATGCTTTGTGCCAAATTTGGTTGAAATTGGTTCAGTGGTTGCAGATGAGAAGCTGAAAATGTTCAAATGTTAACACACGACGGACGACGCACGACGACGGACGAAAACGGATAGCAATAGGTCACCTGAGTTTACTCAGGTGACCTAAAAACATGAATGTCAACACCTCCATGGCACCTGATTTCAACTTCAAGATTTCAGACTGGTCCCGATTTGTACTGTGTCAGTGGGCTTTTGAGCTTAAACACTTATAGTCGTCTTCATATTTGTTAACGTCTCCATATGAGTGAAAAATTCTCGAGAGGGACGTTAAACAATACACAATCAATCAATCGATCATATTTGTTATATACGTTTAGAACATTTTACTCCTGGTTATCAAGAAACTTCAAATGGATTTTATGATATCACTTTAATAAGATTTTTTTGGAACAAAATCATCAAGTTGTATGTTTTAAGGTATTTCCATCCTCCTGTAATGTCATAGGTTTTTGCAAAAACTGTCATTAATTAAAATTCATACCCAATAGAACAATATGTTTTGGAAAAATGCTTTTCAATAGGTGCAACGATAAATATTGTTCAGTAAAAGAATTTGTAAAATCTATATTTTCTTTATTTAATCAATTATTCAATCTTTAAAAAATGTTAACAAGGGCAATAACTCCTCCTCCTGTACCTTCATTTAAGCATTTTCTTTATTGAACTTCTAATGTAATATAGTTTCCCTGATATTCACAATTTATAAAATACTTATAAGTAGCAAGTATTTAGGAACTTTCAACATCAGGATTATGCATTTGAACCAGTTTTTACAATTTTTATAATACTGTTTACAAAAATGTACGATTTTTTTCTGTTGACATATACTTCTGTTTATATTATGTCTCCCATCTTAAATAATATGGCGACCTATACATTTTGTGCAATAATTGGTAAATTTAAACTATATTTAATAAATGTAAAAGCAGTTTTTAAACTTTGAACCATTAAAATTGTGAGGGTGGAAAGACCTTAAACAATTGAGTGACAGGTAATATATTTATTCATCTGTATTAAAAACTCTTGAATTCATTTTATTACAGCAGCGACGATACGGGGAGAGGGGGCTCTAAACACGGACTACTCTCCCCCTCGGGGCATTGACTCAGGAACCAGTCCTTGTTGGTGTAACTACGCCGGAGAGTGCTCATGTTTCAGACCCTCCTCATTTCAAAAGTTCATTCCAACTTCCCATATAACGTCAAAGGTTAAGCAGAAACGACCAATGAGAAAAAACAGTATTGGAACTACAACATGGCGACAGGAATTCTCAGATTATCCTTTTACACCAAAGGGTATCGGTCAAACATCAAGTACAACAGTTAACCAATTCATATAATATTAGAAAAATTCTAGTGCAAAAGTGTGTCATCTACTTTAAATGATTGAGTGTCCTCTACATTTTTTGTAGTCTCGTCTTCCACGGCACAATCACGGAGGGACTCGGGTATGGGATGTGACTGGCATTGCCGCACTACCATAGCGGCCGTCACGGGTTGTGTAGGTGCCATCGTCTGCGTCATAATTTTAACATGGCGGCTGAGGAGGCTTCATTGTCAGAAGGGTCAACCTTTGAAACACGTGGGCAGTACTGTATCAATTTCCGGTGTCCCTTCAGAATATCACGAGGATTATCGGATTCCACATACATCTCCGCAATGGTCCCCAAAACGATCACCAGATTATAGCACGGTATGTGTTGTGCCTTGGGTAGTCGTTTGACCGATTTTCTATTTCATATTTGCACAATTGTAAATTAAAAAAGCTTAGGTATGGAAATTTATATCTTTTATGATAAAAGCCGCGTCGAATGTAGCAAGATTAGTTATTAGTGAATCAATAGTTTGTTTAACACTCCATTAACGATGAATATGCCCCGAAACTTTCTACAACATCGGCTAACAAACATATGATTTTATATGATTTTTGTGGGATTTGATTAAGATTGTGGTAATTTTATGGGGGTTCTATTTCATTGATCAGAAATATTAACGACACAAAAATAAATCTATAAAATCTTACTTTTCTGATATAATGTTACTATTACTTAGTGTTTAACAAAACCTTGCTTTTGAAAAAAATTCTTATCAAGAAGTCAAAATATCAAAAAGTAAAATGAACAATGTCCTGATATGTTAGAGAAATTTTTGTCTTGAAAATGTTTACCGGCTTTATTTTTTTAATTTAAAAAGAAGTGTCGAGAGGAAGGTAAAATGTCATCTGGATTGCTAGGAAGATGTTAGAACCTGATCATTTTCTATCAATGCACTGAAAACAAATAACTATCACTATAAAGAATCATCCATGTACCTGATGATTTTCACGTAGGACGTTTTTGAAGGTTACATTGCTTTGAAGTGTTAGTACCAAGCAGAGGTTTGAGTGAACAACCTTAGACATTTAGAATGTTGGTACCTAATAAAAAAGACCAATTTCCACATACAGAATTATTATATTTCCAATTTAATCTTGTAAATACAAAGAACACGACCTTCGTGTCCCCAAATCCCTGCTACATTAATCAAAAACTGTCAATACTTCTATATTTAAATGTTGTTAAATAATAATTCACTTTTGAGAAGTAAAAAGCACTTGTGTTACGGGGACGATTTTCTCCTTCGGATGTTATCGCAAAAAAAAAAATGAATAGTTTAGCCTTAGGTTTCAAACAAGAACTCAAAATAAATACCCGAAGTGTTTTAGAATAGAACTTTTCATTACAAAATATTAATAAACATTGATCTACCTCTACAGTAGCATTGCTGTAGCAAATTGAAATTCAGAGATTGGGTACGAAAGTCATAAATCGATTAGGTATATCCATTTTTAGTTTTTCAGTCCCAAATATCTTTTGAAATTATTTGTTGCATAACGGAAAACTGTGTGATTATTTAGAAACAATGCATTATAAGCGTCTCCTTTCAACCTTCCAGTAGGATTAAAGGTTCTCAAAGAAGACAAAAAGTCTTTCACGTTTACAACCGATTTATGCTGAATGAATCAATTTATTTTGTCATTAATTCTTATTTTAAATAAAATTGGTAAAGTTTCAGATAAACCTTGGTGATAACACACACCAGTGAAAAGGTCTTTGTCACGTCGTTACTCTGCGGACTAGCAAAAGGTTGATTATTTATAAAGAAATTTCAAAATATGTTTACAAAAATAGTACATTCAGCGAATATTCCTCGAGGCATTCAATCCTAAACTTCGCCCCATCCTTACCTAAAATTCACCACCCGTAAAAAAAACCTCTGATTTTAAATCTGTGAAATCTGATTCTTTTAAAACTTTAAAAAAAAATAAAAAAATTTCCAATAGTTCTTATTTAAAGATCGATGTACAATTCATCTTATTTGCCTACATAGGAACGAATCTAAGACTCTTACCTTATATGACCACCTCTTCCTTTATTGACTACAAAACAATGCAAAATTAATCTAACTTTGGATTATTCAGTGGATTATTATTTCCTACACTTTTTGCACAAACCTTTTTTTTCTTGGATATTTTATAGTCAAGAATGGATATGGCATTCTTTTAATCAAATTAGACTTTCAGATATATTACGATGTTTTATCAATGAACAAAAGTCATTTTCAGTGAACTTGAAATTAAAGACACAAGAGTTTGACACATTCGTTCGTATGTACATGTTTTACTCACTATAGACGATTAGGGCCAACTTACAACTAGTTATATGACAAACGAGACAACTTCAGCTTTTCCGTCGTCAGCTCTCCTTATTTATGTATGCTACTCACTGATAAGTTCATGTTACAGGGATTTGACCAACCTCCTTTTCAGTCTGCATTTCCTAAATTGTATGGTTGTTTTAATGAACTTGTTGGTATTTATTATCCAACATTGGGTTTTAAATGTTGTTTTTTGTTTTGTTTTTTTTTAAACTGAGTTTGACTACTTATTGTTCAGTCTACCTGATCATTAGAGCTCATGGTGGATGTGACCGATCAACAAGGGATGGTTACTCCTCCTAGGCAGTTGATTCCAGCCTAGAATTTTTAGGAAACTTTGTTGTGCACCATGTATACCCTCTTTTGTATTGTTTTCAGTTTTTGGAGATTGATAACTGTTAATAGTTATCTTCGCTTTTTAGATTCAGACTTTGTTCAAGGAGATTGAGATCTGCAATGCTTACCTTGTTTGCCAGTCTTTCTGCGCTATAATAGTCTTCTAGTATACACTGGTGTTTATACCAGAAAAGCAGCTCTACGATTGGTCATGCTTCTTCCTTATCATTTTCTGACAGTTTTCTCTTTATGACATCATTGAGAATGTGTCGGCTGAAGATGGTCAAGGATTCCATTAGTTTTTCTTGCCGTATTATAGATAGCCACTGATTTTAGCTGGTATTTTAGTTGGTACGAAGTAGGATTTTGATCCATGTTTTGCACGGAAAGGATTCTTTTCCAATTTGTATAGACTTGATCAGCCTATATACACTAAGGAAGAGAAAAAAAAATATTCTCAAGCATGTTTCTGCATTTGTTTGATACAATTTATACATATATTACGTGTAATGTATCATTGAAAATATTGCTAGCAAACAACACTTCGAAATGATCTTTCACACATGCTGTGAAAAAAATCTTGAGGAGATACAGAGTAAGCGATTGGATATAAACAAAAAAAGATAATTATTGAATACCTTAAGGAGTAACTTCTCGTCAAAAGCAGTAAAGATCTTCCTCTTGAGGCATTAAAACTGACAAATGAGCATACAAATGAACTACTTGCCTGACATTGTAGTAGTTAACATATTCCAGATCGTCTCATTTTTGGGCATATTTGCAAATGCTACTCACGGGAGCGACATAATGTTCTTTATTTTGTCTTCAGGCCGGTGAAGATCATAAGTGGGAATTTCCTCGTGATAAATTGATACTAGATGAGACGGTGGGAGAAGGAGAGTTCGGACGTGTTGTCAAGGCGAAAGCTTACGGAATGGATGGTCGTGAAGACTATAAATGTGTAGCTGTCAAGATGTTAAAAAGTAAGGACCAGATACTAGTACATTGCACATTATATTGACAATATGTTATTGTTTTGTTATATTGTTTATACTTTTTGATTTTTTTTTTTTTATTTTGGTTAAGTTTGCCAAACTTAATAAAGAAACAAACAAATTATCTAGCTAATACTACATTTTGAAAATATTTTGTTTTTAATTTATTTCTTGAATTAACACAAGGAACTTTAAATTCGGTTTCCCTCTTTGTGCTATATTCATTTTCGTCCAGATTGCGATTCCAGTGGTGAGCTGCAGGATTTATTGTCAGAATACAATCTGCTGAAGGACATCGACCACCCTAATGTCATAAAACTACTGGGCGCCTGCACCAGAAACGGTACTCACTTCGCTTTCTTTTTTCATCTCAGTCAGAAGGACCTGAAAATGAATATTCAGATGTTCAACATACGTTGCTGTTTTGTTACAATTACAATTACTATAAACCTAACATCTTTGACTCTTAGATTAAAGAAATTTTTATTTCATATACTTTCTAGAATTTCAGAGTATATTTGAAGATTGTTTCTTCTGAAATCAAAAACATGTAATTTAGTTGTATTATTTCTCTGTTAAATCTTTTGATATATTCCATACACCATTATTACATAATATGGCACTCTGAATAGAGGATGTAAAATATTCACTACCCATTTGATACCATAGGTCCGTTCTACGTGATAGTCGAGTACTGCGAACACGGTTCCCTTCTTCAGTATCTTAGAAACTCCAGATTGGAGGAGAACGGTTACATAAATCACAGGAGCAGACGATACCTCAGGTTCCAGTCGGAAAGCGGGGATTCTACAGAGCCAGAATTATTGAATATCAGAGATCTATTGTCGTTTGCTTGGCAGATCTCAAAAGGAATGCAATACCTCAGTGAGATCAAGGTATCAGACGATAGTCGTCGCTTTCTTTTTACAGCAGATCTCAGAATTACCTTGAGATCAATATCGATAGTCGTCGCTTTCTTTTTTGCTGAATTGGGTAAATACTGATAAACACAGTTACGTATAAAAATGTCAGGACTTTTTTTTTAATGAAAGGTCAAAATGGAGAAAATTAAATTGTTTCTAAGGAGGAATATATCTATTTCATGAATTTCAGAATTATACTTCCTTGATTTTTTAAACTGATTACTAAATTTATATATGTGGGTAATGAACATTTTTCTCATTAAAGCTTGTACATCGTGATTTAGCTGCAAGGAACGTCTTGGTTGGTACAGGGAAAGTATTGAAAATCTCTGATTTTGGTCTTACGAGGGATGTGTATGAAGCCGATACCTATCTTAAAAGAAGTAAAGTAAGTAAGATTAATAAGGTTTTCTGGCAAACCAAATTTTCTACAACGTTTGCTAAATTTAGGAAAAAATATTCTGCTAAAATTATAATAATTGTTGCTGACTCTTCATCACCTCTTTGTCCATATATATGTATTCATACTAGAAAAACAATGAAACGAGTAAAAATATTCAATTTTATATAAGATCAGAATTGCTTAATATGAATCTTAAAACTAACGAATATTCTCTGCTAACGCAAATAACATAACATACCCCCTCCAAAAAAACCTTATCCAAACAAACAAACTATAATTGAAAATACTGATTATGCAACCATTGCAGATCACTTAGACATTGCACTGAAACATTTCAGTTGTATACAAAGTCGGGTTCTTTACTTTAATTATTATGCTGAACATTAAATTTTGATTTACTGCATGGAAATGAAAATTAACAAAATCAATCATTTCATATCAACAAGTGTGTACATATAAAAGAACACAAAGTATTCACAAAAATAAAAAAAATGGATTCTGAGTTATATGTACATAGCGTTTTACAAGCAGTTAGTACTCGAAGATTCCAAAATGAGAAAAAGAAAACTGTTTGGTAATTCACTAAAAACCTTACTCACAGCCAGTATAGTCTTGCTGTTGATTTGTACTTGCGATTCAGTTCATTAATGTCTGTGGTATCTTGTTAACTTTGGAGATTAACCTTCCAGAAGTGCACAGAAATATTAAATAGACAGCTGGGGGCTCAGAGAAGTAGTTGATAAAATTAAAGATATGCAGAAATTGATGAATAATCTAGTATTACAACCATTAATGAAAAAATCAGTTAATGGATAATGTTATTACGACCGTCGGTGTTGTCTTTCAAAGTGTCGTTGCACATTTTTGGTGTTAATCAATAGTTAGACGAATGAAGTTGATACAAGAAAGATAACTCTTACATATTTGTCATTTAGGGAAGGATACCTGTTAAATGGCTGGCTCCTGAATCTTTGTATGCCCAAATATATACCACACAAAGTGATGTGTAAGTAATCAAACGTACATATAATTTCTCAACAGTATATTTCACTTAAAAATATATTTTGAAAAATTCAAAATATTTTCTCTCCCTCTCACATACCTTGAACAATTGAAGAAATTGATGTTCTGCTACAAAGAGAAAATGATCTTACCAGTATTTGGAAATCTTATTGGAAATAAACTGATTTATAATTCATATTGTACTTAATTTTGCAGAAATCTGTGGGAAAGCCTAAGATTTTTGTTGCATATTTGCTTTAATGAAAGAAAATCCAATATATTCTATTTTCAGATGGTCATTTGGCATAGTTCTGTGGGAAATTGTCACATTAGGTATTTATATTGCAATTGAATTAGATACCGGTAATGTAATATAAACAAACATTATACGGCTTAATCGTATGTAAAATGCCATTTAGTAACTGTATCAGAGAGATGTAAACTTACTATTACAGGGGCCCCACCTTATCCTGGTGTTCCTCCAGAGAGACTGTATAACCTCCTGATAGCGGGGTATAGGATGGATAGGCCCGAGGGATGCTCAGATGAACTGTGAGTTATTCTGTCGTTTCTTCCATCTGGGGTGACTAACCATTGGTAAAAATTACAACAGCTGATTAGCCTATACATAAAATTACAGTCAAAATATTTCATGAAAAATAATTTTCTTTTAAAACGATTATATATATACATAAAATAAAATTAAACCCAAGATAAACAAACAAGCTCATGTAAACTTGTTTATCTTGGATTAACTTAGATTATTTTAGTTTTAATTTATAACTTACCTATACCATGGACTTGACAACAGTTCACTTTATATACATGTATAGCTTTACTTTGCTCAGCTATGCATGCGATCTTTTATTGGTCATTTTCAATTTGATCAAAATGCTAATAATTTAGAAATATGAAATCATAAAGTTCACGTTTTCCCGCAATAAAACTGCTTATTTTCAAGCAGTTTTTCTTCCTAAAAATATTGAGCGCAGACTTGAACAAACTTTATATTTTTACCAAAGATGTATCTATTCAATACTCATTACTGACAGGAAAACACTGACAGGTGCTCTTTGTTTCCCATAAGAAAAAAAATTAGAAAAAGGCCCTTTTTTTTTTTGCTTTTTTGGAGGGTAAGATAGCAAAAATAACATTATTTTCTGGCGTTATTTAAAGCCAGTGAGTTCATATGAGTGTGAAAAATATAGTAGTTATATAGTTCCACATTTATTTTGAGAAGGGTTGTCAAAAAAAAAAAAGTTAGAGACAAAGTTTGACTTTTTTTCTTTCTGTATTCCTGTTATTATGAAATCATATATTCCCACTTGCTTAATGGAATCGTTTTGAAGAGATACTAAGTTAACGACACTAAAAGATAAGTGTGTGACCCATTAACTGAACAACAATGAACATTTGTTTAAGATCATTTCCCTATTCGTTCTCTTTTAGCCAGTTCATTATCGCCCTCAATATTGTCTAAATAGATCACGAGTGCACTAACCTGACATTTTCAACCGATTTCTGGAGGTATAATTTTTTTGAATACGGTGTTTCGGTCTAAAAAAATTTTCAGTAACAAAAATGTCGCATTCTAACAACCAGTGTTGCAAGCTTTAAAAGGAGATTATATATTTTTATTACAAGTTAAGATACTCGCTTGAGTGAGGCTAAAAAGACAGAGAGATGAAACAAGAGAATACGTATCTTGATCAAATTTACTGATTTGAATATTCCTATCTCAAAGACTGAATTCTCATTGAACAAAGATATTATCAACAATTTCAACAAAGTACACGTGCCCTTCAGTCTGTCCTAAATTTACCCCTGGACCAACACCAAAATTTATTAAGTTACATGTACATGTACCTAATAAATATTCCGACTTCTTGCACTTAATGTTAAATTCGATCCAAAAATGTCTACATTGATAATGTATTCTCCCAATGTATATAAAACTTGAAATCGCAATCAGTAAGCTATTTCAAGTAAGGACATGTGTGATAGCTGTTTTAGTGTATGAGAAACTATATTTGTCGCAAGACTTGAAAGAGCTTCAGGTAATTCCTTTGTTTAATGAAATTTTACATTGGAAGATTATTTGTCTCATAAGTGGTCATGTTAACAACTGCTGTAGATTGACTGATCTTCTTTCACGACCCCCCATTTGCTCTACTTAATACATATACATGTTCTTCAAAATAAGAGTTCCTCAAGTTCACCACGAGGAATTTTCTTTCCATGAATCTACAGAATTGAGTTTTTTCTTATCTTAATATCCAGTTTTGTATTCAATGTTTAGCTTGTGTTTTTGTTTAGCTCACCTGAGCTGAAAGCTCAAGTGAGCTTTTCTGATCACCCGTAGTCCGTCGTCCGACCGTCTGTAAACTTTTCACATTTTCAAACTCTTCTCAAGAACCACTGGGCCAATTTTAACCAAACTTGCTACAAAGGATTCTTGGGTGAAGGTGAGTTTAAATTGTTAAAATGAAGGCCAATGTCCCCTTACAAGGGGAGATAATCAGGAAAAGACCACAATAGGGTGGGGTTATTTAAAATCGTCTCAAGAACTACTGGGCAAGAAAAGCTGACACTTATGTGAAAGCATCCTGGGTTAATGTAGATTCTAAATTGTTAAAATTATTACTCCCGGGATTAGGTCGGGGGTAAAGAAGGGAATCAATGTTTTACATAGAAATATATAGAAGAAATCTTTAAAAATCTTCTTCTCAAGAACCAATTGGCCAGAAAAACTGAAACTTATGTGGAAGCATCCTGGGTTAGACTTGATTTTAAATTGTTAAAATTATGACCCAAAAGGAGGGGGGTAGGGCGCGACCACAGTCGGTATTGCTATTACAAGGGGGGAATCTGGTAAAGACAGGCATCACCAAAGTTACTCAGGTGAGCGATGTGGCTCATGGGCCTCTTGTAATTTAAAGAAAATCGTTCTTAAATCAAATATTTTAGGTATGCAGTAATGCAGAAATGCTGGAAAGCAGATCCAACTGAGCGGCCAGTGTTTTCTAATTTAACAGCCATATTTGATGGAATGCTCCAGCAAAGAACTGTACGATTTTTAAAATAACTTTTTTACTCCAAAAAATGACAAAAGAAATCTGCATGAAATTTTTTACTTAACTTTTCCTATTTTATTTCACTTGCAGGAATATTTAGAGCTTACCGGAGGTTTCGAAAATGTTGAAACAGATCTTTTTGATAGATGTCCAGATTCATATGGTAATTTCCATATACTTTGGTTCCTTGTCATTCTGTTAATTAGAGAAAACTTAGAATTACTAGTAAATAATTTCAAAATAAATTGTAAAACATTTTTCAATGTAAAAAAATTTATCTTAGAAAACAGAAGAGATGGTAAAATCTCAACCGAGAGAAAAGAATTGAGTATATCTGGAAAAGACGATACTGGATCCGGAAATCCTTACTTAACACCGGCATCCCGGAATGACATTACACTAGAAAGGTGTACCGCGCAACAGTGTGAATCTAGTCCTGAGAGTGGTGTTCAAAATGACGGAGAGAATATAGCTTTATTGTTAGAGTGCCGAACAGCTGTTTTCTCAAATTCATTGGAAAGTGAGGACGAAGATGTTGCCCTAAAGCAACCATTCCAAGCCGTCGCATAGTGGCATTCTGAGGATTTCCAACACTGAACATATTTGGTTTTCCCGGGATTTCTTTTTTATGTTGGGTAAATACCAATATAAATGTTGGGTATCGTATACGAGTATGTTTTGAGTCATCTGGGTTTCATAAGGTTTGAAAATCAGAGAAGGGTCATTAACCAGCAGTTGGTGTACATATGAGAAGTTTGAAGGATGTTATATTATATTAAATTGCTTTGTTTTTTCCCGTGATATTATCATTTACCCGCTGCTGATTACGTGAAACATCTTGTCCATAAGCATAGTTCTGTCAAAACAGAAATATATAAATCGGTCCTGTAACATTATATGCCTTCTTTGGAACTCGTATGTATCTTTGTAAATTGGACTTTTGTCTTTTTCTGCAACATGAACAGATTTTGAACACCTCTGAGAACATATTCTGGCTAAAACTAGAATACCAATTCCAAGGATTATAAATTATTCGATAATGCATTCCAACCAAAAAATTAACATCTATCGTTGACAAGGAAAATGTTACCCCTGTAAAACATATATTGATTTGCACAAGTAACATATATTGTTGATGGGGAAGGATTGAATGTCGACCGAGCGTCCATTACAGCTGGTTCAGTCCACACATCTCTTGAGACCTGTAACTTCTTCTTTTGTCTAATGGACATACAGTTCTTCTCTTTAGTTTTTGAGTTGCCCTGTCTCTTATAACATTTTTGACGACATCTTTGTGTCTTTTCTAGGTTATTTTTTGGTCTTAATGGTTTAAAATGAAAAAAAATATATATTTATATTAGGGGAAAAATAGAGTGTGGATAGATTGATTAATACTACAGGTATCATATGTTTATTAGCTTAACAAGCTTATTTAACCCAGCTTTTCAAATTGTAATCTATAATCGAATTTTCCAAACAAATTAATTTTAAATTCCTTGCCTTAATACTTTTTCAATGCCTGATGACATTTTATATAGATTTAACATAATTCCCCAGTCATATGTGTAAGTGATAAATATTTCGACTCTACTCCCTACTTTGAGATTAATGGAGGATATTCACGTGATCTCAAGATTATATCTTCATTGGATGCCCTGTTATTATCCTCCCTTGTTCTTTATAATGATTTTTGTATGTTGTTTACCGTGAGTTCGACATGCTTGCTGTATATGCATTATTAGTCGTGATCACTTTGCGACATTATCAAAATTGACATTACTGTCAAAATGAATCTAAGTGTTACCATTTTGATGCTGAATAAAATAAAATTTAAAATTCTGAATTGTTTTACTTTTGGTGATTTTTAGCTTTCATTTCTGAATTTTATGAAGGATGTGTGCCTTTTTGCTTCAAAATGGAATTTTATGATCGGTTTTTTAAGAATTTTTTTAAGAATCTAACATCTTGAATTTATTCTACTTGAGAAAAAAAATTACGTATATTAGGGATACAGAAAACTTAATTCATCTCAAAAGATTGATTACACCTCGATCTCTTACAAGCAAAGGCATGACTGGCCGGGAAATATGGTGCATGAGGAATACGAAATTAAAGCCGGTCTTTATATTGTAACCAGAAGTCTCTGTCGAGACTGAAGCTCTACTGGTTTGTACTTATAGCAAAGGAAGAGAAAAGTAATTATAATAAGCAGTTGGGAATTGAAACTTGACAACAGCAATAAATAGAATAATGATCCTTGATAAAGTCTCTTTATGTTCTTAGTGTAGTCTACTTGTTTGCCAAGTTATATTGAAATCAGACCAAAACTGTAGGAGGAGTAGCATTTTGAAACAATTTTACAGAAATTTCTATTTTTAGTAACCACGGGAACACCGTTCATCGAAATCAAAAACTGATACATGGAATTATGTATCTTAGTGTAGTCTACTTGTGTGCCAAGTTATATTGAAATCAGACTAAAACTGTAGAAGGAGTAGCATTTTGAAAGAATTTCACAGAATTTTCTATTTTTAGTAACCAAGGAACACCGTTCATCGAAATCAAAAACTGATACACAGAATTATGTATCTTATTGTAGTCTACTTGTGTGCCAAGTTATATTGAAATCAGACTAAAACTGTAGAAGGAGTAGCATTTTGAAAGAATTTCACAGAAATTTCTATTTTTAGTAACCACGGCAACACCGTTCATCGAAATTAAAAACCGATATACAGAATTGTGTATCTTAGTGTAGTCCACTTGTGTGCCAAGTTATATTGAAATCAGACTAAAACTGTAGGAGGAGTAGCATTTTGAAAGAATTTCTACAGGAATTTCTATTTTTAGTAACCACGGCAACACCGTTCATCGAAATCAAAAACCGATAAACAAAATTATGTATCTTAGTGTAGTCTACTTGTGTGCCAAGTTATATTGAAATCAGACTAAAACTGTAGGAGGAGTAGCATTTTGAAAGAATCTTACAGAAATTTCTATTTTTAGTAACCACGGCAACACCGTTCATCGAAATCAAAAACCGATACACAGAATTATGTATCTTAGTGTAGTCTACTTGTGTGCCAAGTTATATTGAAATCAGACTAAAACTGTAGGAGGAGTAGCATTTTGAAAAATTGTTTACAGACAGACAGACAGACAGACGGACAGACAGACAGACAGACGGACGGACGACGGACGCATTACTATCGCATAAGCTCTTCTGGTCTCTGACCAGTAGAGCTAAAAATGAGATGTTGGGTCAAAGGTCTGGATTACAGTATAAAAATCATGTTAATATTTTAAGCTTACATTTTGAATCAAGCCGTGCAGCTGATCAAGTTGGTGGTCATAAAACAAATCCAGAATCTGATTTGCCCAAGAATGAAATCAAGACAATGACCCGTGCATGCGCGTGAAGAAAATGTGAATTAACCGACGAAATGAAATCAGTTTTTTAAAGGAAAAAAGTAATGAACACAATCAACTGTTTATTGTGATTTCTCTGAGGCCTGTCTGGAAAATGCAGCATTTTATACTAGTATCATACATATTACACATGTACATGTATGTAATATAAGTTGTAAGTGTGTACCGGTGTTGTAGTGTAGGACGTCCTCCATAGCCAGCTTCTGCAACCAGAATCTGTACTCCAGAGTGGGACCCCCTCCTGAGAAGAAATATCACTCTAGAGCCAAATTTCCCCCACTTTTTAGCTCACCTCAGCCGAAGGCTCAAGTGAGCTTTTCTGATCAAAATTTGTCCGTCGTCTGTCGTCGTTGTTGTCGTAAACTTTTCACATTTTCATCTTCTTCTCAAGAACCACTGGGCCAATTTCAACCAAACTTGCTACAAAGTATCCTTTGGTAAAGGGGATTCAAGTTTCTTCAAATGAAGGGCCACGCCCTTTTCCAAGGGGAGATAATTATGAATTAGAGAAAAATTAATGGCAATTTTTAAAAAATCTTCTTCTCAAGAACCACAGGGCCAGGAAAGATGAAACTCATGTGGAATCATCCTCAGGTAGTGTAGATTCAAGTTTGTTCAAATCATGACCCCCGGGGCTAGGGTGGGGCCAAAATGGCCGATCAAAGTTTTACATAGGAATATATAGGAAAAATCTTTAAAAATCTTCTTCTGAAGAACCACTGGGCCAGGAAAGATGAAACTCATGTGGAATCATCCTCAGGTAGTGTAGATTCAAATTTGTTCAAATCATGACCCCCGGGGGTAGGGTGGGGCCAAAATGGCCGATCAAAGTTTTACATAGGAATATATAGGAAAAATCTTTAAAAATCTTCTTCTGAAGAACCATTGAGACAGGAAAGATGAAACTCAAGTGGAATCATCCTCAGGTAGTGTAGATTCAAATTTTTTTCAAATCGTGACCCCCGGGGGTAGGGTGGGGCCAAAATGGCCGATCAAAGTTTTACATATGAATATATAGGAAAAATCTTTAAAAATCTTCTTCTCAAGAACCATTGAGACAGGAAAGATGAAACTCATGTGGAATCATCCTCAGGTAGTGTAGATTCAAATTTTTTTGAATCATGACCCCCGGGGGTAGGATGGGGCCAAAATGGCCGATCAAAGTTTTACATACGAATATATAAGGAAAATCTTTAAAAATCTTCTTCTCAAGAACCACTGAGCCAGGAAAGATGAAACTCCTGTGGAATAGTCCCCAGGTAGTGTAGATTCAAATTTGTTCAAATCATGACCCCCGGGGGTAGGGTGGGGCCAAAATATTTATAGGGAATCATCCTCAGGTAGTGTAGATTCTAGTTTGTTCAAACCATGACCCCCTGGGGAGTTAAAATTCAAGCCCCCCCCCCCCCCACTCAACCCCAGAAAACTTTCAGTTCTGATCTGATATGTGCTTTTTCCTAGCCAATTGCTCAGGTGAGTGATGTGGCCCCTGGGCCTCTTGTTTTATAGTAGGATTTCCACTCTTCATTGCTTAAATCATATCGACATTATCTGGCTTAAAGTTTCTATGAAAGTCATATAACTCTTTTTATGGAAATATGAGTGTTCTCAACTCAAGAACTGTCGAATTTATTATGAAATCGAAAAATATACTGTTCAAACCACTAAGGCTAAACGCAAAAAATTACGTCTTTGGAATTTGTGAAATGAATCACCCAGAAAATCGTAAGACTCGAAATATCAACACCCTGGAAATATGTGTGTTTTCGATTCAAAAATTGTCAAATTTAGTATGAAATCTATAGATATACATGTATTGTTCATCAACGAGTCTCAACCCAAAATCTATGGAAATTGGAGAAATTAATCAAACAAGAGGCCCACGGGCCTTATAGGTCACCTGGGCTGGGTATCATGTAACAATTTTCCAACAAATGAATTTGATCTGTGTTTTAAACCCGAGGCCAGGAAATTCACAATTTTGAAGGAGGCACCATTGCTCATCATAACTATACACTTAGCATGCTTACTTTGGTTACTTAATACCCAGAGGTAGATCAGAGTAACAAAGAGAAAATGCATTTCAACTCTATAACTAACAGTTGTGCATCCCTCCCCAAGGAACCACTGACCCTGGGGCCACATATTTCAAAATTAAGGAAATTTTATCATAAATTTATTTCATCACAAATGGTTGATTAATACCAAAGAGCAGAT